AGTAGGGTAGCACTCAGGCGAAGTTTAGCCAGGCAGTCACTCCTTACAAATGAATAGTTTTTCAGTGTATTTTTCAGAGAGAGTTTGAACAGAAAAGCTTGGGTGAAAGCCTAAAACAGAGCAATAAACGGGAATGGTATAGACTCCAGAAAAAGAATAGGAAGGTCTGGTAACTCAGTARAAAGAAAAATGGAAAGATGGAGCTTGTCTCAAGCAAACACAGAAAGAGAGGGAGCAGGTGTGCYCCATGCTCCATGACCATGCCAGAATTCGCAAGTAATTTGTCCATTTCTAGTTAATCATTCTGGACGAATCGTAATGCACACAGTCGTACGGACACTCATTTGAAAGACTGTTCTTGAAACCATAACGTAAAAGTCACTTTTTTTAAACATCAGCCACAGTCTATACAACATGGGCCTAAAGTTTAACAAACATCAACGAACCATTATTTGAACTAGTGGTCATCAGGCAACACAAACAAGGAGCAAACTCCTTGCTCACAGAAGGCACCACAGAACCTACATGGTTTTTCTTTAAATCTGTAGAACACAGGAACACCTAAAGACCTTACAACCTCAATCTCTTACACCTCTCCCCACCAGCACCATGACAAGATATCTTCAAGCTTCTTCAGCTGGCTCCAGCTTGCCAGACATCCTCTCCATGAGGGTAAGGCCAGGGCAAAGGACTGACCTGGCACCACATTGCAGGCAGAAGGTACCATCTCCGATTCCCCTAAGGCTCCAGGGGACTTGGGCAGCAGTGCTGGTACTGGCATCACACCAACTTTCATGCAGTAGCTCGAGAAGGAGCAGAGAAACATGAAAAAAATCAAAATCAAGTTGATTAAATACTAGAGCACAGCTTTTTAGGGCTCTTTTGTCCTCCAGCATTTTTGTATGAAGAGTTTTAGGATCACTGACTCCAAATTAGCTATATTATCTATAATGTTGTAGGGAAATGGAAGCAAAGCAATAAAGCTCATTCCCGAAAGGTCACACTCCAAGTGTCTTATTTACACATCCATATGGCTGCTTAAAGGAAGTGTCATATAGGCAGTTCCAGAGAAGTATCTCAACTGCATACACTGCAAACCTTGTATAAACAGCATAGATCTGCCCATGCTGCCAAAGATTTGCAGTAAGCTTTTGTTTACAACACCAAAGAACTGTCCAACGCATTTATTATTTTGCCTACTGCTCTGAAGCACTTAGCCATCGTTCCACTCAGCATGTTAATTATGGAAGATGCTTTTTGTATTACATGATTTAAAGTCTGCTCAGTCTTTATGAAATCCAGATTGTGAAGCATCTCAAAACAATTTACTCTTCTTCTTAGCACCTTCAGTCACTAACAGCAATTTTACAGTACATTATGCCATATAAATACACTTTAATGCCTTAAGCATTTAGGAATCAGCTTACCAAGACTTAATATACAGTAGCATCTCTGCAGTTAAGGGTCAAATTCAATTTCCATTTTGACCTCTATTTTACTGCACAGAAAACCAAAGCCAGACAAATACATGTTAGAAGACACTAAAAGCCAAATTTGAGCTACCTCAAGACCTAATTATTTTTCCCAACTTCGAAAAGATTTTATTTGGCCATGCTTGTGCCTTTCCCCTTCCTCCCCCCTTAAAAAAAACAACACACATTTTTAGTGTTTTCAGATGTGGAGTCCTTTTATGCTAGCTGAAGAGCCTAATCTGAGCAGAAAGAACCAGCCACCAGCCAGAGCCCACTCTTTTGAAGATAAAACAGCTACGTGACTATTTCTGGCAGTTGGCTGTGGCCGAGTCAGGAGCACTTGGTGTCTTATATCCTGCCTCATTTTTCACAGAAACATGTGACATCTGGCTCCAGAAGACATTCCAGTTCATCCTTTAGACATATCCGAATCCCTCCTTTTGATACATCCCTTGCATATGAAATTTCATAATCCCTTTATCATTAAATCATAGAGTTAGCAGCAGAGCATTCAGCTGAAATGCCAAAACTCAAAGGATGTTTTCCTGTGTTATTTCCAACTGTTTGTATGGGCACGTGCACTCTACTTCAAACCTCAGAAAACTAGAGTAGAAAGGAGGGTCCAAGTGAGGATTTCACATTATGTGTGCTGGTGCAAGAGTTACCAGAACTCAACATTCTTGAGTCTTGGATTCAATAACTTAGGCAAATATATCCTGAATTTTGCTTAAATGCAATGACTCGATCCTTGTTTATTTAGAAAGATGAGTGCAAATAAGCCACAAGAGCAAGTGGCCTCTACCTTCCACATGATTCTGCTACTAAACTTTCTATAACCATGTCTTTTATCTTACCTTGCTTTAAGCAGTTCCTTCAACTGATAATTCCACACTTCAAGCTAATAAACAATTTTGACAATATTCTGCCCTATATTTAAATAATGCCTGCAGAGGTTCTACTGATATTGCAAGCATTAGACTCCTATCAAAACAAACGTCCATGTTGTAAACAGAAAAATACACTAATTTTTTTATTATTACTATTTTTTCACCAATGGTTTGCAATCACATAGACATTTTATTCAAAAATCTACCTAGACTGTTATGGAGAAGGATATAAAAGACAACACATTTCATACAAAAAGATATGCTCACTTCCTTAATAATGATGGCTTGGCTTTGATAGCCACACAAACAAAAGTATATTAAACAAAAAAATACAGTCCATGCCCTTTCAATCGTGAGGCGAAAATTAAAATATATATATATATAGTCTGTGTGTAAATATAAAATTTCCACTGTTATTTTGAATAAAAGACCTTGTTATATAGTCTTTTGCCAGTAATAAAAGCTACTCTTGTTTTAAAAAGTCTGACCCAATGCAGCTGTTTTGTTTTAAAAAAAAGAGAATTTATCGGTTACTTTTGCATCCACTTCAACAGATCAAAAGCCGACCTTATTCCAAAGTCTGAGCTATATAAGCAAATTTTTATTTGTTATTTGAAAGAAATTAAATGGAAAAAAGCCAGGCGTTTTTTAATTCAACCATCATACTTTCTTCRTTAACATTTTGCAATGTTTGACAATACTTAATAAAATAGCTTCAATATTACCTAAAATGTTTCAATTTAGCCTTTATATCCGAGCCAAACTTACACAGTTCATTCTCCAAAGCCTACTGACTCATAGCAAAAATATCGGATTTATAGTTTCATCCTAAAAATGATTTAAGCTAAAATACCAAAAGGCTGCAAGATTCCAGGCCTCCCTTTCATAGGACATTCATTTAGGAAATATTTTAATGACAGGCAACCCTAAAAGAGAAGCAGAGATGCAGTATGTTTAACAGGCCAAGTTAAGAGTTCACACAGGAAAAAAAAACAGTGAGACTTTCAAACATCACATACTTGAGCAGATACTATTAGCAGGATCAAATTTCCTAACTTCTGGTTTCACAAGATACATTAGCTTTGTTCCCTAACAGAGCAGTCCCTATAGAAAAACAACACATTAAGAGAACACATGGAATATTTATTATTTCTGGTTACTAATAGCTGGGCTTTGGAGATTCCATCCCCCAAAACTCCTTAGCTTGGCTGAATCTGATTTTACCTAAAATAGAGCCATGATGGAAAAAAATTCCCTGCGTATAATAAGCTTAAAATTAAGAACTAGTATTTAGGGCACCCTCCCTCTCAGATAAGCTAGCCTGAGATGTTTTCTACAGCTGTACTTAATTTCTCAGATATTAAGCTGGTTATTTTCTTAYCACCCCCAAGTGTGAAACCAACTAAACTACCATGCCAGAAGTCTTGACCTAAAAGGGTTCTTACAAAACACAGGTATTGGATATAGTAAAAATWAAAAAAAAGGTTATCATCAGAATTTAAAACTCAGCCCCTCAATTCCTAAAAGGGGAGTTTTGTAATCCAAGACAAGAAATAAAGAAGTCAACTCTTTAATGAGACCAAAGGACCAGTTAAATGCAAATTRAATCTTAACATCCCCTGAAACAGTTTTCACCCAAGGTATTCAGTATTCCAGATTTTTTGCAATCAGTAGCGGGGACTTAAGTCTTCAAGCCCCTTTGCTACTACCAAATCCCTMATCAGCACTAAAATCACTGCTTGCAGCCCACTGTAATGAACATTTGTAATAAGACCCCTCAGTACATTTAACCCAGGGTCATTCCAAGCTGGCATGTCATTTCTGGTCACTTACCTGTAAAAAAGGTTAATTCCCAAAAGTATTTTAGCACTACCCAAGTTCTGGTTCACKCCCATCACAGGGAGACAAAATTAACCCAGCTTCATGGCAGAGAAAGCCCTTTCCCTCCTGCCCCAGGACTCAAACCAAACACCCAACTAAAAGCAGCAACTGGATTTTAATAAGTCATGTCCTTAATAGTCACCACTTCTTTATGGTTTTTTTTTTTTAATTGGTAATCAAAGCAGGAGTCTGCACAAGTGTTTGATACACCAAGCCTAGTGCCATGCCCTGGCACCGCTRATAGCCGTGCCATTACGCACAACTAAATCAAATGGAGCCAACTAGAAAACAAAATAAAAGGCCCATTTAACAAAATGTCTGGTTGTGAAACAGAGGACACAACCACAGCCTTTACTAGCATTGATCAGGTGACATTGTTTTCCTTTTAAATAATCAAAACTTATTYGCCAGTCACTGAAGTTACCCAGATAACGTCCTCCTGATAGCCAGCCACACCAGGATGTTAACAGCATTTGTGTTTTCTTGGTAAAGAATGGTAAATTTGATYTCAAGTACAAACTATCAGTGTTAGTGTATACTAAGCCAAGTGTGCTTAGGAACAAATTCATTCATGGCAGGTATTCAGGTCTACCTTTTTTTATTAAAGGAAGCTCTTTTCAYGGAATATAATGAATAATCATATATTATCGTCATAATGAATAATCAATATTCATTATATTCACGGAATATAATGAATAATCATTGAAATCAAGATGGAAAAAACTGTATTTTTTATCGACATATGAACAGAGATACTTACAGCCGTTCAAGTTGCTTTAGATCCTGAAACGCTCCTCGTTCTATCACACTAATCTGATTTTCTTCCAAGTGTCTGCAATTGCAGAAATACAAATTAATTTTAACATAACAGAAAAAAACAGAATAAAACTTCACATATGCTATATAGTGCTTTTCACAGAAACACCAGAAAGAATTGAAGTTTACAGTTCTAASATTTATTAAGGAAACCTGGCCGTATGGTCACACACAGCAAATGMAGTTCTCTTCTAGATTTTATTTCTTGATGCAAAAGGCCTCCTGAGCACCAGGATGCACTAGATCTTTTTGTGCCCATATGTTTGGGGCCACAGCCATTACTCTAGGAAGGGGGCTGGTCTGGAGACTGCTTGTCACACCATCAGCAATCTTATTTTATGCAACATAATTACAGAGGAATGACAAACTCTGGTAGGCAACAGCAGGAAACGTAAATGCAATGTAGTTTTGGTCCAGCTTTGCATTCTGCAGCCATCTCAGATCTGCTCCAGAGGACACCTTTGCTGTCCCTTTTCTCTTGTCCCTTTATGTCCCCTGTGCTCTCTTCCTGCACATCCCCGGAAGCATTTAGGCAGTGGTGGGGCCACATCTCTAGGCCAYCTAAATATACTGTATGTGACTTCCCAGCCCAACCTTGGAACCGTCTCCAGGGAATCCTCCCATTAACACATGGAAGTTGTCAACACAGACAGCAAGAGCAGCCTCAGCCAGCTCACGTACAGCAGGCAGAAGAGTCCATTTCGGTCACAGCCAAAAAATTTTATTTCATCACTGACTTGTCCAATTTGAACCTTTCCTTTCATACATGCACTTCGTAGTAGTATCTGTCCCAGCATTTTTGCTCTGCCCTGATAAGAAGATGGTTAAGTCTATTACCCACAAAGTTCTTCATCAATCACTAAACTTACACAAGATTTGGCTTTGCAGGGTGGTACAAGTCCTTGTCCAAGCACACACCAACTGCTCCCAGTCCAACGGGACTAGCTCCCTAACTTCAGTTGGAGATGGAGCATTCTGCACCTGGGAACACTGAGCAGTGCAAGTTCAATATGCAAAAAAATCCTGTTGGAAAACAGGATTGGTGCTTTCCTCACCAACGCTGCTGCCAAGATACTGAATTGAAACAGTTTCTCTTCTCTGTAATAATGTCTTTAAACATTAGCTTATTTTAAACACTATTATTGCCTTCAACTCCTGCAGGCAATAATAGGTATTGATTTACACTGCGGTCATGCACATGCAAGCAAAGATAATCTGAAATGAGCTTCTTAGGCTTCTATGGAGTAGTTTTCATCTAGACAAACATGAAATTCTGTTGTCTAATAATCATAATGGCACAAATATATTTTAACACTAACAAAGTTACTTATTCTTCATATATTAGAAGACACATATATATATATATAGTTTTCCCAGCAGCTGCATTCTTGGTTTAATCCTTTTGACTTTTGTGTGTCAAATGCCATATGCCGTTTGTCAGGAAGGCTGAACAAACATACTGTATAAACCTGCAAGCAATATAGGAAAAAATACAAGATGCAAGTTGCAGATTCTGCCTGTTGTTAAGGCCATTTAGTATCAGTGAGTGCTGGGGCATGTGGCAGTAGCAACATTACAGTCAGTAGCAAAAAAACTCACTGAAATCAAAACAACTMCTGAGATGAATAATAGCACACTATCTGCAAATAAGATTTTAATAAAGACTTCCAAAATGGTATTGACAGCTGGGCAGGAACCAAGTCTAAATGATGCCACTGCTAGAGATGAGAAATTCAACACAGGAAAGCAAGTCCTTTGTGGATTGGAACYGTCTCCCTAGTACAGGGCAGCTTGTTCCACAAGTGTTAAGGTACTAGCAGCCAAGACTTGCTTTTTCATTGAAAATACCCAAGTCTTTCATGAACGGAATATCACTAAATAAATGTTCAYTTCAAAGACCTGCAGTTTTTAGGACTTAAAAAGGTGCTGAAAACAGCAACTGCAGAAGGCAATCATAAGAAACTATGTGGAACTGGACAGGTTGTGTGTTTCTTCTCTATCAAGAGGCAGCAGTGCCTATAATATTTGTTTTAATTAAATATTTCATATTAGAGTAAAAATAATCCATAGTTTTCATATAAGTCCTACACCTTCCAAATATTCTTAAATCAAGTTACGTTTCAACTTCTATCAACAGGACTGTACCTTAARGCAGCCTAAACGTGAAAGATCCATTTGCTGTCAATGCAGTTTCACTACAAATGATGAAAGCCCAAGTGCTTCCAAAGCAAATCAAAATCTTTAACACAGTATTTATTAAAAGCCAAGCAATGAAACAGCTGTTTAATACACTACTAAAATTAACTGTTTCATGTTATAAATTGTACTTTTTCCCCATTTGGAAAGATAACAACTGGGTAAAAGACAAATCACAAGCATCCGATCTCCAGAATCACAGACATGCTTAACAGCAGCCTAGAAGAGTCTTCTAAAGAAAGTCAAGTTTTACTTTATACTCACAAGACCCGCAGATTCTTCAGTCCTGCAAAGTCAGTCTTTGTGATTCTTGTGATGTTATTTTTTTCTAGATCACTAGAGAGAGGAAAAAAAGAAAAAATAAACACAGGGGATTCAGGCAATATAACTAAAACMGAGATTTAGTTAAGAGAAAGTAACTTCATCAGTGGAGCACTATCAACAGCACGAATTGCCAAAACAATTGTGCCATTACAATTTCAAGCAGCTGTTGGACACTCCTCATGAATTGTGCTTTTTCCCATTACCGCACTGCCCTCATACAAGTTTCTGGCATCAGTGCTTGTTCTACCCTTCTTTCCCTCTCAAGATCCCAATTTCTTTAAGCCTAAAAATCTTAAGGCCCCACTGGAGCAGGAGCTGAACCTCTAAATAAGGACGCAGCCCTAGGGCCCTTTATCCYCACGTGAGCCTGGCCTGTGGCTAGGGAGCTACCGGCATTTGCAAGGAAAACTCTAATCCTACCTAAGAGAGAAGAAAAAAGCAAAATTCAAGAACAGATTTAGGTTTTTTTCAAGAATTCCAATTAGGCAGCCTCTTTATCCTTTTTTTTTTTTTAAATCGTGTTAATCATGCTGACCTGTTTCCCTTTTGCCAATTCTTTACTTTGTTCTCTGCTTAAACTCCTAATTTTCCAACACTTAGACTGTTCACCAGCATCTCTCTCTTGCAGGGACATGTACTAAGTGCTACCTGCTGCCCTGCTTCAGTATCAGCTAACTCATATTCCAGATTCCAATTTAAAGCAACTTCTTTTCCATGACAAGGAAAGGCCACTGCAACCACATGTTGGGCTGGCTTATTTTCTGCAGCTTTTTCTTGTAATAAGCACACCAAAAAAAACAGAGCAGACACTATTATCTAATTTGTACCTTTACAGAATAGAACAAAATACTCTCTAGTTAGAGTCAAATTCTACTTAGGTCAAAATTAATAGGATGTATTAATTGATAGTCCATGCAAGACTGGAATCACTAGCACAGCGCTAAGAACTAGGGTCTCTGTTCTCTGCACTTGTCTTTTCGTTGTCCATAGGCATTAGGGAAAAACACTGCATAAGAAAATTGAGCCCAGAGATCTATTTCGTAGAAAAGAAGATGGGATCACAAACTGACTGAACAAAATAGAAACTTTACCTATTTATCTCAGTTTTAGCAACATGAGTGTGCACTGAAATACACCTCTTCTCTGATAGGAAGGCTTAATCTCTCTCCCATTTCAAGTACAATTCAGTAAAACAAAGATTACCAGATTACATTTATGCACATTTGACAATCGCCTGAAACCTGCACAACCCTTGACCTTGAAATCATGTTGGAAATTCAAATGGCTGTTCTCACATACTGCTTCAAGCTGAGCATTTCTGGAGGTACAGAAAGGAATTCAAGGAAAAACTAAGACCAAGAAATTCCAGACATACCTTCACTCTCAGGCTTGCAATTTGACAAATACTGCATTGAAGCCACCCTGGCCAGTCATTTAAGTTCCCCACAAGTACAATTATAAACACAAGGGGGGAGCCTTTGAAGTGCTGAGAACATTTTAATCACTTGCAATCACTCTGAGAGCAACTATAAGGGGGGAAACTCAGTGCTGGCTGGCACAATTTCCAGGCATTTTCTATTGCATACGTATTTCCATGCAAGGCATTCGGGATGACTGCTACTTAAAYCCATCTTTTTCCATTTCACTCTAGATCCTATCGGTAAGATAGATCTACTACTTCTTAGAAGAAATAAGTGAGTGTTCAAATGGAAATTAATAAAATGCTTTCTATTTTATTTTCAGGATCATGTTTTTTCTCTGCTACCATGAAGTTATATTCCTTTAAAGCATTAAGTAAAAAGCAATTGTCATGGTAACAAACTTCATGTTTCTGGAGTAAATCACACGGTCAAAGACAAGACAGACATATTCTGAGGCTTAAGCACAATAAGAAGTACATTCTCCTTTTCCAGAGGAGAAATAATAGTGATTTCTTAGTACACTTACTATTAATGTTCTCAGATATTTAAAAAAAATTATATTTTCATTTTTAGAAGTAAGAACATTATTCTCCATTCATGGACAAAATAAGTATTTCAATGAGTGCAGGTAATTGTACTGATGCATCTAGGACAAAAACACTACTCATTCCTCAACACACCCAACTGCTCTCATGTGGTCCCTGCCTAAGCCTCCCACRCAGTCCAAGAAGGAATTAGCTCCTTTTCCTGCCATTTTAGCCTGCTGATGCTTCCCTAGAAATCCCTTACCCCAACTTAAGAAAAACCAAAGCCGAAGACAGTACTCTGCCACTTGACAACGGAGCTTTGGCACCTTCGAACAGAACTTTGATAGAGATGATGATTCAGCTCACAGTTTATACTGACAGACACCTAAGCAAATATGCCTACAGTATTTATAACCAGGGACAAACCTGCTCCAGTTGGAAATCTTCACCTTTTGGCAATGTAACTTAAATTTGTCACAAAAACAGACTACAGAAGTTTGTTTTTTTGTTTTTTTTTTTTAAACAGCTAAAGTCTTCAAAATTTAGGCCAATAATTCTACTAAGTCTGTATCATCCACGGTCAGAATTATTTACTTCAATCTGCCACAGAAAGTTGCAGTCCTATGGACGGATACATGCATAATACTTCTTTTCCCACTCATCTTTTTCAAGCATTTACTATCATCAATCCTAGTGTGAATCTTCCTAATGGATAAGCAGAACATTAATAAGATGAAAGGCAATTAAGTCGTATGTGAGCTGCCCCAGAGTGCAGACAAGTGTTTGCTTTGTAGCACTAAAAGGCATTTCTGACGGTTATTTATAAATGTCAAACTACTACTAAAATTCAAGTGACAAAAAGGCTTAAAAAACCTGAATAAACTGTCAGTTTAAGTGTGTTAATGCAGAACATACCTAAATGATGCAAGCAATAGGTTCTCTGGTCAGGAAACAGTATTTCCTATCACAGATAGGAACTAATGATAATGGTAAAGAGAGGGGAAAGACAGGGTGGGATATGCAGCGCCTTGCTGGGGGAAACACTTTCTAGTCAACTTGCTCTTCAGTACCCACCTCGAGATCTGCTTTTTCTCTATCCCTTGACGACTTATACAACCCCTATTTGCACAYAGGCCTTAAACCCAACCATTCCAAGAAATCTTTCTGAAAGTTAGTAGCCAACTCTGACTACAAGTTTCCTTTTCTAAAAAAAGAAAGTATTTGGACAACGCTCTAACTACAACACAACTGTCTGGCTTGAAGTTCAGCTCTCCTTAAACTGTTCAGTGATTTTTTTGATAACTGCCTTCTTTGTTCCAAAAAACAAACCTSTCTTGAACCTTTACCTGGTCCAGCAAAGCCCTCCCTTGAGGGCTGGGTCTTCCAGTTGAAGAAAAGGGATTAAACCCTGGATATACTACATTACCTTTCCTCCTCCTGTTCACAGCAGGTCTAACACTACTACTAAAAAGGCAACTGCCACAGGTTAACCTATTGGTCAATTAAATTCTGGGACTGCGAAGTTACTGAAGTCTCGCAGACCTTMGTGGTTTACAGTCCGTGTTTGTGGGCAACATAATATTTTATGTTTCCTTCATAAAAAGCCTGGCAGCTTATTATGGGCTYGCTAGTGGGTTTCAAACACAAAAGCCTAAACTTTCACATCTCGTCTTAATTGGCTTTCTAACACACTGCTGTACAGAAGAATCGCTGGAAGCAAGAACAGAAATGCCTTTGAAAAGAAATTATTTGGGTCAAAGACTCTGACAAATTCGTACCATAATCCTAAAGGGGAATTTAATATATATCCATTACATTTCTACAAATGCCCATGTGTGGATATGTTTTAAGACAAAARTCATATTGGACAGAATTCCTACCTTTTCGACAATACAGGGGGCACCTGTACCTTACATCTCACATGTATCTCACTCATGGGCACACGAACCCAGTTACTGCTGTGTCATTTCACAGTCAATAACACWGTCCCAAGGGACTCCAAGAAAATCCCAGGGAGGAAACTTGGCCTCCTCTTCCAGTCTGCCAGCAGCACTTGGTCCYACTCGCACCATAAGGGAAAGAAACTGTGATCTGCTCAAGTTGCAGCCCATGCTGGTGGTACTTGGTCTCTCCTGCCATTTTATTTCTCATTTCAGCACGCAACGTGTTAAACCCAGGCCTAGTGACAGCTTTGAGAAAACAGACACCAAAGTAATTAATTCAGTGGGAATGGAAACATGAATTAGACTGGAATGGTACAAGACAGCATGAAAATGAGTTCAGATTGAACTGTTAAAGTGAGCTTTACTCATAAACATGTCCTGCTATGCTCTAATAACTATTTAATTCAATACACATTTGGTAGACGCTGAMAAGCAAGTCACACAGTGTACACACATATTACAAACAGGGATGTTTGGAGTAGCTGGAGCAAACCCTGCTTCATAGCAAGAATTCCTCCCAATTGCTTCATCTTTCATTCTTCTCTCAAGACAATCTACTGAACCTAAGCCAGATATTTAAACATTTTAAAATGTCTCCAGCATTCTCCAGAGCATGTCATTACACAGCTTCAAACAGCATTAGAAGTGCATAGATTTCCTCCGTTACATTGCTTAAACAAATTTCAGTTGACAACTCTTCTGCTGAGCCACCAAACTCTTCCAGGACATCTGGATGCTGTTCAGCTGAAGCCTCACCCTCGTCCTTGGAATTTAGAAAATTTATTACTTGAGGAATAAATCCATTTGTCATAGTTTTATTACACCATGTGCTAAATTCACAGGACTCCATATTCCATCTTCTAGACTTATGTACTCTGGCAAACAAATATACCCATTCTCAACATCGCTGAGCCTATAATTCCTCAAGATACAAGATCAGAATCGAGTTTGACAAACCATCAACAACACAATAAATATCACAAGTTGTACAGAAAAGCCAACAAGCAAAAATAATCACATGCTGAATTTTTTCAAACTTATACTCAAATCAATAACTCAATATGTATACACAAATCCAAAACCTTATACAAAACTTCAAGATTCATATTCACAAGGATGCA